CTGGTTCAGGCTACCCACCTGGAGCCCAGCCAAAGCCCTGGCTTTGCAACACTCCCTCAGGCACAGCTCTGATCAGAAAGCTTGGCTGTGACAAGACCCGGTTACTGAACCCACTCCCAAACTAGCCACTGCAGGGCTTCCCCTTACTACATCCCTCCCCTGTCCCCACCATTTTGTCCCTAACCAGACTGATGACTCTCCTTCCACATCCCTAACCCTTCTACTTCTCTGTCTCTTATTTACTGTCACCCTCCCCATACCTCCTCTAGTTTCATTCTCCACATAGCAGCCTGAGAGGTACTGAAAACTACACATAAATCAGATCCTGCCCTCTCCTGCTTACAACCATCTGTAGCTCACCCTTACCATCAGGCTCAGTTCCAGCCAGGCCATGAGGACCATCTGGTGTGGCTGCTGCCTCTGTTCTGTCCTTATCATCCTGCCACCTTGCATACTGCAGAAGTCCTAGACTTTTTGACCTACTTAGGGTTCCCCAAATGGGCCTGGCTGGCTCAAGGCTGGAGGCTTTGCTTGTGAGAGTCACTCTTAGATGTGGCCACTCCACCCCTTCTTACCTATCCCAGCGTTTGGGTGACAGGTCTCTCCTTGTCCACCTCCTTGCAAGATGGGAGTGCCTCAGGGTGGGGCTCCAGAGACAGATTAACCAGCAACCCAAAGCCCAGCTGAGTTGGCTAGTGAGGTGCCCTCCTAGCCTTCCTAGGGCTGTGCCTCTAGAAGTAGGGCCCAGGATACGTTCCTTTCTAGGTAGTGCCCTCTGTGCTGGCTACCTACCCCTCTTCCACATCTCAGGTCAGTTTTACAACATAACCTCCTCTGTGCACCCCTTTCCCGCATGCTTCCATGGACTTCCTGTGGCGCAGCATGTGCATGTACTATGCCTGCATGTGGATAGGAGGCACCTCCCTTTTCCCAGTGCCCCATATCAATTCATCCTGTTACCACTTCACAGCACAGAGACAACTCTGGATGGGCCCCACAATGACTGAGTGCTGGACTGGGCTTTGCATTTTGATAGGTGCCAATTCTCTAGGCTCAGATCCCCCTTCCATCTCCCTTCCTGGCACAGATTGAAGCTGCTCAACCCAAGACCCTGTTCATTCATTTCTTAGATCTCTGGGGCAACAATAGAGAGAGGCATACTCAAGGTGACATTAAGACAAGCCAGGAAGGCAGCCAGTGGTTCAGGGTCAATAGCCCATGGATTCTGACATCCCCACAGGGACAGACCACAGTGGGGCAAGCTGGGGGCTCTTCTCTGGCAGGCACAGCTCCCTGCCTGCCCTCTCTAGACAGGATGATGGGAGGCCTAGGCAGGGAGCCTGTCCTCAAGGTCTGGCCAGTAAGTCAGCAGGTAAGTAGTGATGTTTATTGAGAAACAGGGGAAGAATGGAATCCCCAAAGCTGCCAACGGCAAGAGCGGGCTGGCCAGCAAGAGGGTGTATAGGCCTGGAGGTGGGCTTAAAGGCTCTTGGGCTATATGGTCAACCAGGCCTGGGATCACCCAGCTAAGAACTAGGATAAGGGGCAGCAAGTCTCCCTGGTGAGGACCAGCTCCAGGCCACAGAGCCTGGATGAACTGGTGAGGTGGAATCAGGCCTCAATGCTTGAACCATCAGGGGGTGTGTACATGGGTTCAATGTGGGCCCAACTGCGGGCCTGCTCATCTGCCCAGGCGAGTAGCTCAGCAGCGCGATGCAGGAAGATGAGGAGCAGGGTGTGTACATCACCCTCAGCTGAGTGGGCTGCATTTGGCTCAGCATTGAAGTAGCGGTGGAAGAGGCTGCCCAAGCTGTAGCCCTTGCGGCCTTGAGCCCGGGTGCTGTGGCTGTGGGCACGGTCCAGGCCCCGCAGTGCTGGCAGCGTATCCAGGCAGACAGTGTCCCGGGGTAGGTGAGCACCCAGGCGTTGAAGCTCTGTACAGAGCAGAGGGAAGTCGTAGTCAAAGCCATTGTGGGCCACAAGGCAAATAGGGCCCTCCTGGCGGCTCAGGAAGGCCTGCAGCGTCCGCACCACAGCACTATCAAAGCCAGCCTTCCGGCACTGCGCCAGACCCTCGCTGCTCAGGCCCGTAATCTCGCTGGCCTTGGCAGTGAAGGGGCGCTCTGGACACATGCACAATGTGAGCTTGTCCAGGATACGGGGCAGCATGGGGGTGCCAGACTCATCACGCTCAGGGTTCTCCAGGGAGGAACGGTGAACAGCGAAGAGGGATATCTCAGCAATCTCTGGATCCACATTGGGGAGCCCAGTGGCTTCCAGGTCCAAGAAGACAAAGGTCTCAGCCCGGGGTGGCTCAGACATGGTGATGTTTTCACAGGGGCAGTGAGGCCTAGAGCTGCCAGAGTAAGAGGCATAAATCTGAATGCTAAAGAGATGGGGACACCTGGACCTTGTTACCCACAGCCATCTCTCTGGTCAAAGTTCTGACCCCATTAGGTTTCACTTCCTTGCTACCCCCACTCCAGTTCACAGAGCTTTGGCTCTAGAAGTGATATCTAAAGCCTACATCCAAGGAGACTTTGAATGGGCCTCTACAGGGCTGGGACCCAGTGATCAGGACCTGTTAACTTCTGTCCAAGAAGGGGCCTGCTAGGGACCCATCCCCCTTTATCCCTCACACCTCTCCCTAGCCAGCCACACTTCCTACCACCTAACAGAGGAAAGGAAGGCCTACGGAGCCCAGATCCTAGTCCCAAGCCCTCCCCCTCCGCCTTTTGCTGCCAGGCCATTGTCTAGCCGCAGTTCCCTTCAGGGACATTGGGAGGCAGATATAGCCCAGGAATGGCACTTTGGCCACTTCGTAGATACCAAGCCTGGGAGCAGACACCCAAGAAAGCCCACACAGTGGTCCTAGCCTTCCTCCTCCAATATTAGCTCTAAACAGGCCTCTGCCTGCCTCCTGGCTCCCAGAGGAAGTCCTCGCCAACCCCACCACACTGGCTTACCTGAGGCAGGCGCTGGCCGGCTTCCTAGGCTGCAGGACGGGACACCTGTCTCCACACAGGCTGCTCGGGGCAGCCTTTAATCAGTAGCTGTGGCCCGCCCCCAGCAGCTTGTTGGGCAACCAGGAGGCCTGAGGCCGCAGGACCTGTGTGGCCGGCTCGCTTGCCACCCCCTCTCAAGCTCACCACCACTGGGAAACACACCCCGTGTTTACAGATTGGGAAGCAGGCTCTGGCCACACGCAGGCTTCCGGTGAGTGATGAGTGCTGCCATGGGCTGCAGAAACGTGTCCTCACAGGTACAAGGAAGCTGGAGTGGGGCAGAAGGCTGTGCCCTCTACTTAGTCCTGCCTATGAGTCTGATGAGGGTCAGGCTGCAGCTACCAGGTCCGGCAGACCCAAGTTTGATGCCAAGCCCCATGATGGACATGTCACACAGACTTGTCACCTTCTCCAGGCCTTGGTTTCCCCATTACTGGGGACCAGGCTGTCCTAATGTGACCTCAACAGTGAAACAGGCACCCACATATCTCACTCAGCCTATGAAGAAGAAGGGGTGCTAAGGACAGTCTTGGGTCACCCTAATGACCAGGGGTGGCCTCAGGGATGTGCCCAGTATAGACACTGCCTGGCTTTTGCTCACCCACCTTGTGGGTTCATCTTCCATTAGGAAGGGGAGTGGGATGTTTATCTGCTCCAGGTTGAAATGACCCATGATGTCTAACAAGTATTGAGCAGAGGCTGCCAGGGAGGGAAGAGGTGAGGCAGGAGCAACTCTGCTGGGCTGGAGAAGTGGTTGGGCCTGGCCCAGCAAGCCCCATGGGCTGTGCCTGTACAGATTCTTCCACTTATAGGAACACTCAACATGGTGGGGGGTGGGGGGCGGTAGGGGCTAGGTGGCCCCAGGACTACAGAATAGGAGTAAAGCCCAGCTCCTGGGATCCCTTTTCCACCTGGCTCCAGATGAAGGGCACCATCAAGATGGGAGGATGGCCAGAGAACCATCCCTGGTCCAGGAAGTGTGTAGAATCCCAAGAACCTCATTCCAGAGCACCACATGCCAGCATTTGGCAGTGGACACACTACAGGTCCAATCTCCTGCTAGGGGAATAGGGAGGCCATCAGGATGCTGCTCTCTGCCCAGTGCAAACCCTCATGTGTCCTTTGACCTGCAAGGCAGTCAGTTCACCCAGACAGTGGTGAGCACGGGTCTGCTTGTCCTCCCACAGCAGCAATCTAGGGGCCACCCCAGGTGATAGCAGGAGGGGGCCTGGTGCCTGGTTCCCTGGTGCTTCCTTGCCTCAAGTGCCCAGAGGGGAACTTGGGAGAGTAAAGGTGATGGTGCAGGGAGTTGAGTAGGCAGAGCAGCCTCAGGCAGGAGGGAGCCCCCTCCCTCAGGCCCCATCAGTCCTTCCTGTTCCCATGCTCAAAGGGAGGGAGGTGTCTGTGACAGGCACACTGCTCAGAGAGATACTGGGTCATCTTGGGAAGCCCAGAGAGCAGCTTCCTGGACAACCAGTCAGGCCACATCAAGAATTCCTCAATAGATGCTGAGCACCCTGGGAGGAAGCAATAGACAAGCTGTCTCCCAGGCACATGATGAGGGCTCCTGAGGGGCTATGAGAAGTGCTCACACAGGAATGGGTACAGGCCAGGGGTGGCAGGGAGAGGGGTGCATGCATGGTGAGTGGAGGCCTTGGCTGGGCACAGCCAACTTACCAGGCAATGACAGGAAGGAGTGAAGGCAACAGGCGAGGGGCAGGGCCCACGCCCACCAGGCATAGCCAAGTTTAAGCAGGCAATGATAGGAAGGAGTAGAGGCAGGGCCCAGGCCCACCAGGACAGCAGACCCCAGACCTGTGATACTAGGGACAGGAAGGGAGCTCAGTAGCCCAGGCCAGAGGGGAGACAAGGGACCCAAATGGCAGAAGCAAAGAGCTGGCTGGAGGCAACTTCTTAAGAGTCTGAGGATTCCTTTCTCTGTAGCTCAAACAGCCCTGGCCTTCTCTGCCCTCCCACCCACCCTCCCAAGAAGCTGAAGGCACCCAGCAAATGGAGGCACAATGGGTACTGGAACCACTTCTCCAGCAAGCGTGCTGGGAGGGCCTCCTGCTCCTGCATTATCCTGTGCCTTTTTGCAGACTGTCGTTGAAGACCTTATACTTCTGGGTTAGTTCATCCATTTGGTGGCTGCAGAGGAAAGAAAAACACAAACAGAAAAGTGAGTCTAGTGCTTCTGGGCCTGGAAAAGGCAGTGTTGGGCAGCAACTGCCAGGATCGCCTCCTGGCTCCCACCTGAGGCCCGCATCCTCCCTCTCAGACATGACTGAGTGGCAGGGAGGGGGCCCCACCTGGCCCCCATGGGGCTTGAAACCTAGGTGCCAGTCTTAGTAGCTACTGTACCCAGAAACTACTGTAAGTGCCAGGCAAGCAGCTCAGAGTCCTGGGCTGGGTCACACTGACTACAGCATGGAGCTGAGGCTCAGGCCAGTCATAACCTTGCCCCTGCCCACCACCCCAGAGCCCAGGGGACGCAATGCAGTGAGAAGCCGGGGCTTGTTCTGACTGATGATGATGTGTCTTTTAATCAGATGAATAATGTGTGTGCACAGTAACTAACCCAGTGATATGGAACAGCCAGCTCTAAGACCTTAGCTGAAGAGCTCCTGTCTCTGCTGCCCACCCCACCCTGCAGGGAACTACACTCACTACATGAGCTACCCAGCTTGCCCAGGAGGGAGGGGCTGTAGCTGATGTACCCAGTAACTGCATAGGCCTCCCCAGCCATCAGCTTCAGCTGCCCTTTCCCACCCAGAGCTAAGTTCTATCTTTGAGTTTTCCTAACTTAAACACAAACCTGTTTCTTCCTCTACCAATCTGACTCCCCACCCCCACCTTCTCCTTGGGAGGACATCCCACCCTCAGCTATACTTTGCCTTGCACATTTCAAGGTCATTAACACAGACATTAGGTCCAGTGATGACCTAAATTTGTCATCCTCTGCCCATCCCAAGGGTGGGTCTGGAGCTCAAGACTCATACATAGGTGTGCCTGAGTGGAAGACTTCTCCTTCCAGAGAGGGGATGTGCTTGGCCACTCTGAACCTTGCCCTGAGGACCCTTCCCAATTGCCGCCAGTACTTCCAGGGCATGCCAGTTGAGACGGCTTCCTGTGGCAATCCACTCCTCTCTGCAGATGGTGTTTTCCCAGATTCCAACCTGCCTTTAGTTTGGGTGGCATCTGCCTTTATCAAACCCTGGCATGTTTCCAGCTGCTTTGCCTTGCTTTTTTCCGAGGAGCTTGGCTATGTCCAGAATCCGAGGCCCTAAGCCACCTACCTGGTCCTTACTTTTTTAGTGGAGGGGGGATCTAGGGATTGAACCCAAGGATGCTATCCCACTGAGCTCCATCCCCAGCCCTTTTTAGTTTTTATGTAGAGACTGGGACTCAGTAAGTTGCTGAGGCTGGCTTTGAACTTGTGATCCTCTTGCCTTAGGCTCCAGAGTCACTGGGATTACAGGCGTGTGCCATTGTGCCTGGCCCTTGTAAGATACTATCATCTGGCCCCCATGGCTGCTCCTGAGGCCCTGCTTGAGCTTTCTCTCTGGAAGCTTTGCCCTCAGGTCGCTGGTCCTGGCACTCCTGATGGCATGGATCCTGGGCTGCATGTTTTGGGTTCCATCTGCTCTGGACTTGGTGTGGAGACTGACCCACTTCACTTCTGCCCACTCAAGGCTTCCCTTCCTCTCTGGCTCTGGAGACAGTTGGCCACCTCCATCCAGCCTCTACCTCTCTGAGCCTCATACTCATTTTCTGGCTCCCCCCCTCCACTCTTAGACATGTGCTGCCCGTTTGCCTTTCCTCACTGCTAGGTCTTCATGTTTGGGTGTCACATTGAGCAAGTTCTCAGTCTCGTCTCTGAAAGTTCTGCAAGTCAGATTTCCTGCATGCCCAGGCCTCGTCTCTTCCTGGTGCTAGTGTTCATCCCCTATCCTGGATAGTTGCTGGGCTGGGGAGAGGAGCCTGGGTGGCAGGCTGCCCCTGTGCCCCACCCATATCCTGGCTCCATCATATTTTTTCACACCAGGACACGCTAGAATCTTGCTGGGGGGGGGGGCATCTGCCTATGTAGCTGTCCCCTCTCTATAGGCCTGCTTCACCTGCTTTACTTCTAGAGCAGCCAGGCCCTGGAATCACTGTGGCAAGTTCCACCAGGCAGACTAGCTCCCCAAGCACTGCTGCCTTGGCTGTCCTGTCCCTGCAGCTTCCCCAGGCATGGCATCAGGCAAATGGCTCCCACTCCCTTCCTACTATCTATAGCTGTAAACATCTTTCTTGTATTGGGGTCATTGACACACTCATTGTCAGCACTGACAGTGTTGCTTTGTCTTCTAAATGTGACTTCATGGTAGTTCCATTCACAGCAGGTGCACCTCACACAAACCCTCACTTCATACTCCAGGACATGTCACCAACACAGCTCAGCTACTGGCACCCAGATTGGTAGGGGTAGAAACAAAAATCCTTCCAAGAGGTGGGGCTTGAGGAGGTTGAGACCAAGGCCCTAATGTGCATGCTGGGAGACAGGTGAGAAGTAAAGGACCATTCCAAGTGCCCTTTGGCATGGATATGATACTGGCTCCTTTCTCTGAGCATGTCTAGAGTCTAAGAACATGTCTTAAAGTAAATCAAAAAGCAGCATGACAAGAGCTGTCAGGAGCCCTGGCTTTGAACCCCAAGGCTGCTGAGAGCTCAAGGGTGAGCAGCCACCTCCCTGCACTGAAGTGTGGGGCCAGGGCCAGCACTGTCTGGTTCACACAGCCTACACATAAAGAGTGCCACTCTGAAAAGCCACACCTATTACCAGTCCTGTTGTTCCCTGGTGACCAGTGAAATGGCATACTGTTAAGCATACTAGTAATCATTATTATAATAATGACAGTATAGATTATAAGCATTTTAATAACAGCAATTATACAGACTGCGGCAAGAGTCAGAGTGACAGTGGTGATTAGGATAAATGCTATAATAAATTTTAAAATGGAGGATTCAGTTGCCATTCAATCAGTATGAATAGACTCCTAAGTGTCTGGTTTACATGTGGCAGGTGAGTGCCAAGGACAAGAGCGGCAAGAAGGCCAATTGTCAGAGCAGAGAGCCAGCTGGAGAGTTCATCCATTGACAGTCTTGGGAGGGGGCTCAGAGGCTACTGAAGCCACTACTTGGGGACACATTAGTGGAAAACATTCACAGACAAAGGCTTTGGTTGGTGCTGCCTGAGGTGATGTATAACAGTGTGGCAAACAAAAGACTAATCAAAAGGCCTGAAAAGAAAGACTAAGGAACAAGCTTGTCCACAGCACTCTGAAAAGCTCTTAATAGTCTTCAGAAGGCCATGTGAATGACCAGGGGAGACCAATGAAAGTCCTTAGCTCTTCCTTCCAGTTGATCTTGAGGCCCAAAACCAGAAAAAAGTAGAGAAGGAAGATTTGTCAACTGCCTGGCTAAATATTGACGAAAAACAGAAATCTGCAGATCTAAAAGTCCAAAGAAAATTCCTGGGGCTGGGGATGTGGCTCAAGCGGTAGCGCGCTCGCCTGGCATGCGTGCGGCCCGGGTTCGATCCCAGCACCACATACAAAGATGTTGTGTCCGCTGAAAAAACTAAAAAATAAATATTAAAATTATAAAAAAAAATAAAATAAAAGTCCAAAGAGCTCCAAATCAAATAAACTCAAGGTGACCCATACCAATACACATCATAACCAAACTGTCAAAATTCAGAGTCCAATACAATTATGAAAAAAAGAAAGTGAAGAAGCCAAGCATGGACACACACCTGTAATCCCAGCTACTCCAGAGGCTTAGCAACTTAGCAAGACCCTGTCTTAAAGTTAAAAAAAATTTAAAAATAATAAAAAGGTCTGGGGGTATATCTCAGTGGTGGAGCATGCCTGGGTTCAATCCCCAGCACTGCAAAACAAAACAAAAAAAAGAATGAAGACATTTCTCACATAAAAGGATTCTCAATAAAATTAAAATCTGAGCCAGACGTGGTAGCACACACCTGTAATTGCAGCACTTCAAGAGGCTGAGACAGAAGGACCGTGAGTTCAAAGCAACGTGCTATGCAACTCAGTGAGACCCTGTCTCTAAATAAAACACAAAATAGGGCTGGGGACGTGGCTCAGTGGTCAAGTGCCCTTGGGTTCAATCCCTGGTATCCCCTGCCAAAAAAAATGAAAATCTGGTTTCATATCAAAACCTATAGAGGCCAGCCAGCCAGGCACGGTGGTGCACACCTGTAATCTCAGCAGCTTGGGAGGCTGAGGGAGGATCATGAGTTCAAAGCCAGCCTCGGCAGCTTAGTGAAGCCCTAAGCAACTCAGTGAAACCCTGTCTCAAAATAAAATTAAAAGGGCTGGGGATGTGGCTCAGTGGTTATGTACCCCTGGGTTCAATCCCTGGTACCCCCCCCCAAAAATGTAGTATGTGGATGAACCTTGAAATCACTATGCCCAGAGAAAGAAGACAGAAACAAAAGACCACATATTGTATGATTCCATTTACAGGAAATATCCAGAAGAAATAAATCCATAGAGATAGACAATGGATCAATGGTTGGCTGGGGCTAGGGGTAAATGTGGACTGACTGCTAATTGTATGGGGTTCCCTTTCAGAGTGATGAAAATATTGTAGACTCGGATAGTAGTAATGATTATGTGATTCTGTGAATATCCTAAAAAAAAAAACAACTGGACTGTACAATTTTAAAAGGGTGAATTTTATAAATTTATAATAATTTTATAAATTTATGAATATATATAATTTTATAAATTTATTTATATAAATTTTACCTTAGTTAAAGCTGTTACTAAAAATAGGGCTGGGGTATAGCTCAGAGGTAGAATGCTCTCTCTCTCTTTTTTTAATATTTATTTTTTTTAGTTGTAGTTGGACACAATACCTTTGTTTTATTTATTTATTTTTTTATGTGGTGCTGAGGATCGAACCCAGGGCCTTGCACGTGCTAGGCGAGCACTTTACCACTGAGCCACAATCCCAGCTCTTGAATGCTCTCTTAGCATGCATAAGGCTTTGGGTTCAATCTCCAGCACAAGAAAGAAAAGGAGAGAGGAAAGGAGGGAAGAAGGAAGGGAGCACTGATAGAGATAAAGAAACTATCTTTACCTTTTTTTGTTGAGTTTATTTTGACTTTTATTTATTTATATTTGATACTGGGGATTGAATCCAGGGGTGTTTACCACTGAGCCACATCCCCAGCCCTTTTTATATTTTATTTTGAATCATGGCCCTCAATAAGTTGCTTAGGGTCTTACCAAGTTGCTGAGGCTGGCTTTGAACTTGTGATGCTCCTGTCTCAGCCTCTAAAGCCACTGGGATTACAGGCGTCTGCCACTACACCTGCTGCTTTGACTTTTTTTTTTTTTTTGTACCAGGAATTGAACCCAGAAATGTTTAACCACTGAGCCACATCCCCAGCCATTTTTTAATGATGTTATTGTATTTTTATACCTTTATTTGTTTATATTTAAGTGGTGCTGAGGATCAAACCCAGTGCCTCACACATGTAGGCAAGCACTCTACCACTGAGCTACAGCCACAGCCCCCAACCCCCCCAGCCCTTTTTCAATATTTTATTTAGAGACAGGGTCTTTTGTTTTTTTCATGTGGGACCAGGGATTGAACCCAGAGCCTTGTGCATGGTAGGCAAGCACTCTACCAACTGAGCTATATCTCCAGCCCCTTTAGAGACAGGGTCTTGGGCTAGGGATATAGCTCAGTTGGTAGAGTGCTTGCCTTGCATGCACAAGGTCCTGGGTTCAATCCCCAGCACCACACACACACAAAAAAGAATAGAGACAGGGTCTTGATGAGTTGCTTATGGCCTCGGTAAATTGCTGAGGCTGGCTTTGAACTCAAAATTTTCCTGTCTTAGCCTCCCAAGCTACTAGGATTACAAGCATGCACCACTGTACCTGACATATTTTCTAATCTTGTTAAATATGGTGCTGATACAAGGATAAAAAGAAAACAGAAATAGAAAAGAATAGAGAACCCAAAAATCCATATATATGGACACTAAATAACTAACAGAGGCAATGGTACTGTAGACCAATTGGGAAAGAGTGGATTTCCATTAAATGGTGCCAAGACAAATGTGTATCCTTATAGGAAAAAAATGAAATTAGACCCCCACCTCACACCACATTCAAAGATCAACTCTGGGAAGATTACTAACCTCACTATTGAAGGTAATGCTATAAATCTTTTGGAAGATGATAGCTGAAATAGGAAAGTATTCTTCAGTGAGAAACAAAAGCTATCCATGAGAGCCGGGCATGGTGGTGCACTCCTATAATCCCAGCAGCTCAGGAGGCTGAAACAGGAGAATTGCCAGTTCAAAGCCAGCCTCAGCAAAAGTGAGGTGCTAAGGAACTCAGTGAGACCCTGTCTCTAAATAAAATACAAAATAGGGCTGGGGATGTGGCTCAGTGGTCAAGTTCAATCCCTGGTACCAAAAAAAAAGAAAAAAAGAAAAAAGATATACACGAGATATTTTACATTTGAGAAATTGTATCTATAATACAAAAAGGGGTCAAATCAAGGAGAAAAAGACAAATCAACCCAATATAAAAATGAATAGTTAAACAGGCACTTCACATGAGAAAACTTCAATGGTAAATAAATGCATGAAGTGGTAGCACACACCTATAATCCCTGAGATTTGGAAGGCTGAGGCAGGTGGATAGCAAGTTTGAGGCCAGTCTCAGCAATTTAGCCAGACCCTGTCTCAAAACAAAAAATGAAAAGGGCTGGTGATATAACTTAGTAGTACAGCATCCTTGGGTTAGGTCCCCAGTACCACAAAATTAATTAATTAATTAATTGGAAAAAAGCAATAAATAGGGATGGGGATGTGGCTCAATATAGCACCGCTGGGTTCAATCCCTAGCACTGCAAAAAAAAAAAAAAAAAAAAGTATGAAAAAGCACAATCCTGTTAGTAAATAGGGAAATGCAAACTAAAGCTGCACTGAAAGGCCACTACACACCTACCAAATAGCACCCATCACCAAGGCAAAACATGGCAAGTACTGATGAGACATGAAGCAATGAGATGGCTCATGCATGGACCAGCAACATGGCAAGGTGGAGAATTCTACTCCAAGGATGACATCTTGGAGAAACTGGCAAGTGTATACAGGGAGATTTGTTCAAGAATATTCATGGCAGCATTATTCACAAGACCCCCAAACTGAAAGAACCCACATGTCCAGGAAGAGCAGACACCGTGTCATGTAGGCAGGTGGCACACTATACAGCAGGAGTCAACAAGGTATAGACCACCTGCTTTTTTTTGTGGTGCTGGGGATTGAACTCAGGCCCTTGTGCATACGAGGCAAGCACTCTACCAACTGAGCTATATCCCAGCCCCACCTATTTTTATAAGTAAAAGTTTACTGAAATAGCCACATTCATTCATTTATGCATCCCAGAGAGCTGCTTTCTCACTAGCAAAGCAGAGAAGAGGAAGTGTCACAGAGACCATGTGGCCTGCAAGGTTGCAAATATTTACTATCTGGTCTTTTACTGAAAAAGCTTGCTGGCCTGTGCCACATGGCAATGAAATGAGCAGATTACAGACACAGACGATGTAGATAAATCTCACAAAGAATTATTACTAAGGTCAGCAGTGACCTTGAGGGCACATCACAGCTACATTCTGTTCTCCACCTGGGTCACCACACCATTGTCCTAGAAATCATCAATTTGGGTTTGATATAGCACAGGGAAAATATCCAAACCAGTTGATCATTATGGATCTGAAAAATGAGACTCTTCCCAGAATGCTATTTTTCTTATTCAAAAACAAACAAAAAAGCTTTTCTGACTGTATATTTCCATAATTAAGAAAAATTTAGAAAAAAAGTTTAATTAAAATTAAATTCAGCTAGGCACAGTGGTGTACACCTATAATCCTAGTAACTGAGGAAGCTGAGGCAGGAGGATCACAAGTTCAAGACCAGCCTCAGCCTCTTAGCAAGGCCCTGTATCAAAATTAAAACAACAAAAAAGGCTAGGGATATAGCTCAGTGGTAAAGCACTCAATTTCCAGCACCACAATAAATAATACATACACACAGATACAAACACAAACACAAACAGAAGGATAAACAAACTGATTCCAACACAAAGAAAAATCAATGTCCATATCCTGCTCATTTCCTTCAAGGATTTCTTCTAGGTTTTCCTTTAACATATTATAGTATGCATTCCCTCATGTCATTGTAACTAACTCTTTAAACAATAATTACTGTCCCACCATACAGACATTATTAACAAAGCACTACCCAACATTAGAACTCTACATTATTTTTATATACGATAGAAAATAATGAAAATGATTTGCAGACTCAGTAATAGAAAATGTTTAGCAAATTACAGCAAATGCCTGAGTGGAATAGTATTTGATAAGTAAAAATGTTTTCTAGGGCCAGGCAGGGTGGCACATGCCTGCAATCCCAGTGGCTCAGGGGGTTGAGGCAGGAGGATCATGAGTTCAAAGCCAGCCTCAGCAAAAGCAAGGCACTAAGCAACTCAGTAAGATCCTGTCTCTAAATAAAATGCAAAATAGGGCTGGGGATGTGGCTCAGGGGTCATGTGCCCCTGAGTTCAATCCCTGGTACCCAAAGGAAAAAAGAAAAGTTTTACTAGGAAAACTAGAAAAAGGCATATAAAATGAAGTTAAAGGAAACAAATAACTGTATATGTAATGATTATACTTAAGTTATACAAAATTAAAAATGACAATAGGAGAAAGAACAGCAGGAAACAGACTCCAAACAGTAACATTGACCACCTCTGGATTGTCATTATACCTCTGTACATCTCTGGATTATCCCAATTTTCTATTATGAATGTTTTTATTTTATAATCTGTTGAGAGTATTTTTTTTCTCCAGGGAAGGAAACATGCATTAGAAAAAGAAAAGACGAAAGGGCCAGTCCCCAAATGCTCCCCAAGGACTAGTAGAGTCCTGAGCCAAGTGAGTGTTGGGCATGCATTGGGACACCTAACCCATTCCCCGTCAGTGGCAGTCACATACCTAGACTCATCACGGAGCTGCTGCTTCCCCAAGAAATCTGCTTGTCCTGCTGCTTCTTCACCATCTCCACAGGTTTTGCAGAGGTATTAGTCACCTCCACAACTGCTTTCAACAGCTGGCACAAGAAGAGAGAGATGCAGGCACTGTGTTGCTGCTCTGACCCGGAGATGGTATTTCCTGTTTCCCATGCAAACTCACCCTCAGCAGGTAGCAGTCACCCCAGAAATAGCCAAGGGCAAGGGGCAGAACTCCCACCCAGAGAATAACCAATCAAACCTAAGTCTTCTTCCTCCTGGCCTGGTGGGGATACTACACAATCATGTCACTCTGGCAACCCTCAGTGCTCAGTGACACGCCAGCATTGTGTGACATCCCAGCCCAAGCAAAGCAAATGGTAAAGTAGGAAAAGAAATGTCCCAAGGGAAAAAAGGCCTTTCTGATGAGAGGACACAATGCCCTAACTGTCCTGCTGGGGGTCTCCTGGCCACGCTGGCCCAAGTGTTGGAAGTCTTAGAACCTTTCTGTTAAAACCCCAAAATAAGCTTGGCATGGTGGTACACTCCTGTAATCTCAGCAACTCTGGAGGACGTGGGAGGACCACAAGTTCAAGGCCAGCCTCAGCAACTTAGGGAGACCCTACCACAAAGTAAAAAAATAAGGAAAAACAAAACAAACAGAAAAAAGGACTGGGGATGTAGCTCAGAGGGAGAATGCTCTTGGGATGAAAGAAAGGAAGAAGGAAGGGAGGAAGAGAGGGAGGGAGGGAAGGAAGGGAGGGAGGGAGGGAGGGAGGGAGGGAGGGAGGGAGGGAGGGAGGGAAGAATGAAGAAGAAACATCATGACCCTTGAGCCAAGGTCAGAGTTCTCACATGGTAACTACAATGATATTAACCCAGCATTTGAGGTTGGCCTAACAGGAGCCAAAATGCAGAACAAAGCAAGAGAACATTTACTTAGTTGGCATAGCTATTTGAGACAGTTCTCTCCTGTCTTGTCCAAGGTGGCTCATGGGCACAAACCAACAAGCATTTGTCTGTGTGTCTGGTGCACAGATTGGTCATACAAAATACTGAAGGCACCTTGGTATGTTGGGACATAGTGTAAAAATAGAGCAAGACCACCACAGGGACAGGGGCTGGAAGGCCAGGAAAAGGATCTCATATGGAATCAACGAAGACCCAACCCAGGCCATGTGCAGACCTCTCCAGAACCCAGTCTCTTGGCTTGGTTAATGCCCCTTCTACTGGAAGGCAGTGGGTCTCCTGGGGACAACATCCACATCAGGTCTCATCCCCTCCACTGCACAAGCACAGAGTGTCTGTTCCAACTCACCAAAGGCCCCAGGCCTAGAGCCCAGAGCCCTGACATGCCACTAGCTTGGGGAGCCGAAGTCAAGCCCTTTGCAGTCCCTTGTCCCAGCCCTCACGTCCATCAGGGGCTGCTGAGGCCCCTGAACCTGGGAAGGTGTGAGCTCTCAGTGGGAAGAGGAGAGGAGGATACTTACTTGGCTGCAGGAAGTCAGAGTCTGGTACACGGCTTGGACGATGGGGCCACTTGGGTGGAGGTGAGGGCGAGGGCGCTGGCAGCACTCTCCCAGCTCATCGTCGTAGACTTGGAGGAAGGCCAAGATGAGCTGGTGGAAGTCGGAGACAACCAGGCGCAGCTTCTGGTCTAGGGTACTAGCATCAGTCCCACCTGCAGCAGCTCCTGGCTTATGCTGCGCAAAGCACTGCAAAGTCAGAGGGGACAGTCCCTAGACACTGCCCTGGCTGGGCTAGGAGCCAGCATCTTAAGCACTGCAAAGCAGGATGAGGAAAGCTTCCAGAAACTAGGAGATGGAGGAGCTGAGCACAGCCTGGGCCCTGCTGCTGATGATCGAGTGGCTCAACAAAGAGGCCCAGTCAAGGGCTGCTGGGAGGGCCACATTTAACAAGGTACACAGGAGCAATGGAGCTCAGGACTGGTATATGCCTGGCACATGGATGCTGCCTGAGACCAAGCCTTCCCCTTCCCCCCCCCCCACTTCCTTTTTTTTCTTTGGTTGGGTACCAGGGATTGAACTCAGGGGCACTTGACCACTGAGCCACATCCCCAGCCCTATTTTGTATTTTATTTAGAGACAGGGTCTCACTGAGTTGCTTAGCGCCTCGCCATTGCTGAGGCTGGCTTTGAACTCGTGATCCTCCTGCCTCAGCCTCCTGAGCCGCTGTGATTACAGGCGTGAGCCACTGCACCCACCCAAGCCTTCCCCTTCTTTCAGAAGCTTTCCAGATATGGGGGGAGCTCCACCTCTGCACCCACCTCCCCAACTCCATGTGAAATGAGCACCTTCTACCTTCTAGAACCCAGCAGGCCATGTACACAAGCCACTTCAATGAAGTCTCAGAGCACCCCATGCTGGGGATGATGTCATTTGCCCTAGGACACAGAGCAGGGTCTAGTCCCTAAGCCCCATAGCTCATGGAAGCTGATGCCCCTCACCTCTACCCTGAGTGTCTGCAGCTTGGCGGCACTCTCCTGCAGCTGCCTGGCCAGTTGTACCACCTTCTCCTCCTCTGAGTGAGCAGAGGGGCTGGCCCTATAGGGAAAGAAAGGGGAGACACTTCCAGCTGTCTGCCACTGTTGCCACAGGCAGTGGGGCACACTATGGGCCACACACAAGGATCTGCCTTTGGTGACAGAAGTAAGCAGGGCTGGAGCTGGGACAGGAGCCTTCTGTGACCTCTACCTTGGCCAGTTGTCACTTTGTCTATCAAGAAGGGGTTGTACATCCAGGGGCCATGGGTCACACCTGGGGTTCAGGAGCACCCGCAGGTGGGAGCTGGTGAAGAGCTCTCCCAGCAATGCTTCGTTCTTGTCTGTGGTGTCTTCCAAATGCTCCTTCAGGCTGGAAAGGCACACCCAGGACACATCATCACTGGCAGAACACAAACCCAATGAGCCCACAGCCCACATGAAAGACCCAAGAGGCAAGAGGAGAGCAGGCAGAAGGAAAGGGAGTATGAAGCCCATTGCTCGGCATCACTCACTGCCCCTGCCTGCCGTTGGCTCCTCCAAGAAGCCCACTCATCTGCATGGGCACCCAGGGGCTCACCCTCCTCCAATGTGCCCAGACTGTATTCTCCAAAGACCACAGCACCCCTTTAGGCACAGTGCCTGGGACCTTGGGCAGCAACCTGGTATCCAAATGATGTACCTCACCCTATTAGTACACTGCTGGCCTCTGACCATCCAGCCAGTCCCCCAGAGCACAGTCCTTCTCACCTTGTACCTCCAGCTCCTGGACCAGTAAGCAGTCTGTGCCACAGGAGGGAGACAGCAAGATCCCAGCTAGAAAGGTGTCCTGGACCCTTCCAGTTCCATGTCTAAGAACAAGACCAGCCTGTCAAGGGTGCCCTGCTGGGCTATGGGAACCATTACCTGGAGCAAGTGAAGCATCTAATGTTCAAGCTCTGAACTGTATTCAGCAATTGGTCCATGAAGTGCAGCTGCTTCTGGGCACAGGCACAGCCCTGTACAGGGAAGGTCACATATGTCTGCTGGCTAGACCCAGGCTAAGCCCAGTTTATCTGTTTTAGATGCCCTATTCTCATGTGGATTCCTGCTGGGGGCCACTGAAAAGGAAGGACCTGGCCCACCAGCTCCCTGTCTGCACCCAGCAACATCTTGGACTGTCTCAAAAGTTGCTGCCATGAAGTGTTCCCTGCCCAGCCCCCACCTCAGGTTGCAATGACGCCTAGGACTACTCTGAAAAATGATAAATGCTGTAGAAACATACTGCAGTGTGTTTGTCACACAACCAGCTGCATGGCTTATGGGGTGAGTGTGATATGAGGGGGCCCTGGAGGTGGCCTGCTCTCCAGCAGGGGACTGGAGGTCCAGTCAGGAAGGCTTCAGGAAGCAGCTCCTGATGGGCTGACCTGATCTCCTGCGCTGAAATTCCTATAAGGAGCTACCTGGCCAGGAGTTTAAGGGTTGCCTCCTTCCAGAAAGGCCCTGATCCCCAGAACCAAACAACCTCAGAGGTCATACCTGCCCTAGAAAGCCCTGAGAAAGTAAGAGCACCAGGATAAAAGCTGGGTCAGTCTCACAGATTTTACCTCATTGTTGTTCTGAGGAGCACAAGTGAATAAACTGACCCAGAGAACAGACTTTCTAGAATGCCCTACAACAAGCCTTCATATTGAATTCCACATTGAAGGCACAGGCTTCAACAAAAGGGCTGGTCAGCCCTGGTGAGGAGACTTGGGGGTAGGTCAGCTCCCCATTCCTGTCCACAGGTACCAAGTCTCACATCTGCAGCTGCCTGCCATTCGCAGCAGGCCTGCTGCTCCCACTAATGTGACCAAGTTGAAAATGACCAGTGTCTTCTAGAAGTTTCCAGCTCCAGGACCATAGACTGCCACTGGGACTTTCTTATTCCTTTTCTATTGATTCAGTCTCCCAATCGACCCAAAGGACACACTTGCAGGGCACACACACACTGGATGGTGGGACTGTCTAGATAAGAGATGCCCCCAACAAAAACACAGAGTGTCTTTACTCAGAACCTCACAAAGCTTTGACGAGTGGCCTAGGACGAAATACCACTGCCTGCTATTACCTCCTCAGTGGAGAGACAGCTCCAGGAAACCTACTCCCAATGTTCAGAAAAAGGTGAGTAGCCTATCTAGCATTCAGGTTATGGCCACAGCACTGATTCCCCTGGGCAGTCCTGGCATGTGTCTCCCTATGGTTCTCCAAAGCCACAGGGCTGGCCACCCAGTCTATTCTGGATCACTAGGGCCCAGCCCCTACAAGGCCTGAGGGCACTTGCTGGCCTCTGTACATAGCCCAGACAGGTCTGCAGGCACCTTGCTGGAATCCTGTCTTCTCCCTATTCCCCAGCAAAGGCACTCTAGAAAGATCTAGAGAATGAATCCATAAGGCCTCACACCATGCTGAACCCCAGGACAAAGCCCCTTGCACCCCACCCCAAACCATCCATCAGCAAGTCCAATGGGCTTGGCCAAACCCAGAAAGTCCCCCACCTTTTCCGCTACCACCACTATTCAAGCCAGCAACTACACACATCTGGACACTGCCAACCTACCAATGAACCTCCCAATGGCCACCCCTGCTCCACCCAACCTTTATGCCTTAGCCATAGTCATCTCAGTGATGCTTGATGGAAATCAGTGTTCTTGAACTTGAAACTCTCTGATGACCACCACCACCACTCTAAGGCCTCCTGGAGCTTACAAAGGTATTCATGGTCCTCCCACCCTGCTCCATACCCTTGCCACACCCCTCCATTCTACCAGGGCCTAACGGGCTTGCTGGTGATTTCTTAAACATAACCAAGAACACAACATCTCATGGCCTTTGTACTTGCTGTTCTCCCAGATGTTGTCATTCCATTTGGCTGGACTGACACTTTTCGAGTTTTAAGTCACATACCATGAAATTCACCCTTTTAAAGTACTGGTTTGGTGGTTGTTGACAAAGTCACATTTTAGAACATCTCTGTCACCATTAGCAGTCATTTTTCATTGTCCCCAGCCCCTAACAACAAGTTCCTTTGTATCTCCATAGATCTGCCTTTTCCAGACAGTTCAGGTACACAGAATCACAGTATGTGACCTTTTGTGCCTGAGTACTTTCTCTTGGCTAATGTCCTCAAGGATCCCCATATAGTTTATTCTTTTAATTCACAGTATTAGGGATTGAACCCAGGAGCACTCTCACTCTGAACTACATCCCCAGCCCTTTTCATTTTTTGAGACAGGCTGGCCTCAAACTTGTAATCCTCCTGCCTCAGTACCGTGAGTTTCTTTCTTTCTTTTTTTTGTGGTGCTGAGGATCAAACCCAGGCCTCATGCATGCTAGGCAAGCGCTCTACCTCTGACAACCACAGCCCCAATATTTATTCTTTGTTGTTGAAAATAAGTTGATCCATTTAGATGATGGATATTTGGGTGTTTTTTCCAGTTTGGGGCTATTATGGTAATATCATTCACATATAAGCCTTGGTGTGCACAGGTGTTTTCAATTCCATTGGAAGTACAATTGCTGGGGTCATGTGGCTATTCCATGTTTAACCTTTTGGGAAATTACCAGATAGTTTTCCACAGTGGCTGCACCATTTCATGTCCCCATCAGCAATGTGTGAGGGTTCCAATGTCTCCTCATCTTCAGTAACACTTGCTATTTTCTTAAAAAAAAAAAAAAAAAAAAAAAAACCACTGGTATGTGTGAAGAGCTTCTTACTGTGGTTCTGATTCGAAGAGCTCTCACAACCAATGATGCTGACCATTTTTCCATGAGCTTATTGGTCATCAGTGTGTCTTCTCTGAAGGAGTATCTATTCAAGATTCTTGGCCCATGTTTGAATTGGGTTCTCTGAATGGGTTATTGATTTCTTTATGAATTCTGGATAAGTCCCTTATAAATGATTTCCAAATATTCTCTCCCATTCTGTAGGTTGTTCTTTCACTTGCTAGAAGGTGTCCTTTTGTGCACCAAAGGGTTTAATTTTAATAAAGTCCATTTGCCCTATTTCTTTTGTTTCTTGTGCTTTTCATGTCAAATGATGACTCTTTAAACCACCATTACGAACACCTGGGTTGGAGTGTATGTGAAGGACAGCAATCCACAGCAGCTACTGTGCTCATGGCACTCATGTGTGCCCCTCTTTGGCCAGTGAAGGTTTCTATCATTAGCTGGCTCCAGAGTTCCACAGACGTCACCCTAAGTCGTGGATGGCTGTCTTCCTCCTTGCTGTCATAAGGTATTCCCGGCTCAATTTGTACTTTTCCTCCCCCAGCCATCACTGTTATAATTGGGCCATCACTGATCTAGACCTTTGTGGAGGACAAGGGAAGGGAATGCATATACACTTTTAAGTTAAAATATATTAGCATTGATACTCCCAATTAAAATTTAGGATGACAGAGTTTGACCAAACCTTCCAATCTTACAAATGTATTTCCCATGTCTCAATAATGCCAATGTAATCATACATTTGCTTCTAGTTTTCATTCCATACAAGGAATAAAGCCCTGACATACTGTGTTGCCACCTGGAAAAACCTTGAAAACATTGTGCTCAGTGAAAAATCCCATTTAAATGACACAAAGATACTAAATGAATGGGTGTCAGGGTTGTGGGGAACAGGAAGAGGCTATTTAATGGGTACATGGTCTCCTTTCAGGGAATAAAAATGTTTTGGAATTAGTTACAGGCAGCGGATGTAGTATATTGTGAATGTATGCACTAAATGCCACTTTTATGCTTTTAAAAATGGTTTAAAACTTTGAGTACAGCCAGGCACAGGGGCATACAACTGTAATCTCAGTGACTCACAAGGTTGAAGCAGAAAGATTGTGAGTTCAAGGGCAGCCTCAAGAACCTAGCGGGGCTCTCAGCAACTTAGCGAGACCCTGACTCCAAATAAAAAACAAAAAGGGCTGGAGATGGAGATGTGGCTCAGTGGGTTAGCGCTCCTGAGTTCAATCTCAAACCAAAAAATAATAATAATAATAATAATAATAATAGAGTTACAACCCAGGAAGATGAATAAATCCTAGACATGGATAGTGGCAATAATAAAAATAGCAAATTTTATCTTATATGTATGTTAAAATGTTTCTTTTAAAAAGAGTAGAGCTGGAGCTGGGGTTGTGGCTCAGGGGTAGAGCACTCACCTGGATGTGCAGAGCCCTGGGTTCAATCCTCAGCACCACATAAAAATAAAATAAAGGTATTCTAAATAAAAATAAAAAGAGTAGAGCCCTCTCAGAGCTTGTTGGAAAATTTTTTAAAAATTGTTAAGATAGTGGATTTTATAATATGTGCAGCTTGCCAAAATAAATACTATGAAAGACTAAAGAGAGGACAAAGGTTCCAGTTGCAGGAGAAAACACACCATCTTTTTCTCCCACTGAAGACCCGTCTGTCAGAGCTGGAAGGCATGGGGCAGGAGTTGCAATCTCTGGACAGTAAATGCCAGCAGGTGGTCAGGAAGGAACACCAGAATTCAAAGCCATCATTCAGCCTGGTGGAGAGCTCGCCAGATGGAACACCAGAAGGGAGTGCTTCAAAGCAGATGTACAGAGCCCTAGGACATACCTACTAGGTAGTTCTGGCTCAAGGAGCAGAGAAGAGAACCCACAAGGCTCAGAGATAGTAGGAAATCTGCCACTCAGACCCCAGGCAATATGGTTGGGGTGACAGAAGTAGCCAAAGAGAGAAATCTGCAGAAGCTGTAACTCTGATGGATGCTGGAGCATTGGAACGTGCCTTTAAAATCCCAGAGAGAGGCTGAGGCAGGAGGATCACAAGTTCAAGGTTGGCCTCAGCAACTTACTGAGACTCTCTCAAAATAAAAATTCTGATGGGGGGAACCTCTGCTCCATTGAGGGGCACAGAGATAGTAGCATCAAGTGCACAGGGATAGCCTTCTTACTACTTTTTACTCTCTCTACAGAAACCACTGCACCATGGTCATGGAGAATGGGAACAGGAAGCCCCAACAAACTAGAAAACATCTTAAAGAGATGGTGGAGAGGAAGGAGCTCAAGAAAGTAACCTCATTTATCTATTTCTGAATGCCTGGGCTGAGCCCTACCTGTGCATGGGTGGATCTGATTTCGACCTAACAGCTGACTTGGATTACTAAACCAAGGCCCAGGTCCCAGGATGACCACTGGGTGGAGCACATGTAGGACAGACTGGAAGGAGTTGAGCTGTCAACAGAGCCGCAGGCCACAGGAGATGGCTGGACCTTGCTGTTTGAGCCTAACCAGGTCAAATACCTGCTAGAATACACGTTACTATTCTCCACACAATTTAATGAGACCCAGAATCAAAGGAATAGCCAAAATGTTCAGCATGCGATCCAAAATTATTTGGCACATGAAAAAACATCAACTTGCATGAGAAAAGATGATCAATAGATGCCAATGACAAGCTGTCACAGATGTTGGAATGCTCTGACAAAGATTTTAAAACAGCCATTATAAAAATGCTTGAATAAGCAACTATGAACATGAACAAAAGTTAAAACCAGAAGCATCAGCAAAGAAGCAGAAAATAAAACAACAACCACGTAGCAACTTGAGAACAGAAAAACAGAATAAGCTGAAATAAAAACTGACTGGATATGGGCTTTGGGTGATAATGATGTGTCAATGTTGGTTCATTGATTGTAACAAATGTTGATAGTGAGAGAGGCTTGTGGGGGGAGTCTGTGAGAATTTTCTGTACTTATTGTTTAACATTAATATTACTTTTTTTGGCTTTTATTAGTGTATTAAAGTCTACTTATTATAAAAAAGAAACCTGACCAGATAGACTTAACAGAAGAATAGAAAGTTAAACACAGAGCCACCACCTCACCCAACAATCCCACTCCCAGTCACACATCTAAAAACGAACGATTCATTCAAAAAAAATAAGCTCAGTTGGTAGAGTGCCTGCCTTGCAGCACAAGGCCCTGGGGTCAATCCCAGCACCACCAAAAATAATAACAATAAGAAGAAGACTGCATAGCTGCACTGTACACAACAAAGAGTGGAAACAAATACTTTGAAATGTATACATTTTCATGGCAGGGAGTGGGTTTCTTTGGCTAGTTGTGGGGTGGATCAGGCACCTCTGCATACAAACCTTGGGTGGGCCATGTGAGGGAGAAAGTGCATGGGCCTGGGTGCCAGGGACCTGGGTTTCAGATCTGGCTCTGTCACCATGTGACCTTGAGTAAGTAGACTGAAATAGGGCTAAGACAAACACCTAGTGCCAAGGGTGGGTGTGACAATTACTGATGTAAAGTACCTACCACAGTGCCAGGCAAGTATGGCATCAACTGAGGAAAGAGCACCTCCCCCATCCCTTGGTTATCATAAACCAGAGACCTGCCTCTACCTCCATGGCTGTCCTCCCCACTTCGCCTAAGGGATGATTAAAGTTATCTACCCAAGAGACTCCTAGCAGTTCTTGCCCTAGGGATGCCTTCAGAAACAGCCTGCCCAGACACCAGGCTGACTCTGGGGCAAGAGAACCTTCAAAGGCACAGGAGACAGAAACCCCTCCCATCCCCACAATAGCATTGCTGAAGTCCCCAGACTAGGAAAGGAAATGTGCACTACCTCTGCAGGGACAGACAAGGACCCTTTCTCACCTTTACAAGCTCCTGGTCATCCGGCGCACACAGCATCAGCTCATGGGCTAGTTTCACCATTTCTGTTGGAGCACAGAGACCCTGTTACAACACCTACCCAAACAGGGGACACCAGACACCCAGTAAGCCATGGCAATGGGGTGCTGAGGCTCTCCCTCAGTGAGTTGGCTTCTGCCACAGCAGCAGCAGCAGCAGCACCCACTAGGCTGGGCTGAATATAGAAGAACAGGTGGACAAGAAGGCAAGTAAAAGACACACTCGGTGCCCTTGCTGTGTGGCCTGCACCCATTCGCTGCCCCTTTCTGAACAAGTTTCCTTGTCTGAAAATAAGAGGTTATCCTCTGTGCTCTCGCATGTATGGAACTCTCTAATGCTGGATTCTAATCGAGACCAGTCAGCTGCCTGAGGAGCCAACAGAGGTCAGGGAAACTCTGAAATGCAGTGTGCGTAGCCCTCTCAAAGCCAAAGCAAAAGGAACCACAGTTCACACTGGTTCACACCCTAAGGGCTTTTCATGTCTTCCTCTCTGTCATCTTGTGGCAACCCTGAGAGAGGGTATTGGCTCCATTTTATAGATGGGAAGCCCAAATCCCTGTGCAGGCCACAGAACACCTAGCCACATCTTCCAGGGTGCCCAGGGCATCTTGTAACCACCTGGAATGTGAAGAAAGGCCAAGATGTGGAGCCAGAATGCCTGGGGCCAGTGCTTTGGGAGGCCTACGCAAGAAGGAAGCAAAGAATCTGTGTGAGCTCTCAATATCCCTGGAAATGTTCTACAAATGCCAACTGCTCCCCACAAGCATGCCTGCTGTACTTACAGCCCTAAACCCACGTCCTCCCTGAATCATCTCTTCCCCTCAGCAAGTCCAGCTGACCCTCCCTCAACTATAAACCCAGGACCTGGCTAGCACTCCCCTACAACCTCTCAACTAGATCAGTCACTGCAAGAGCCCAGCAGTGGTCTCCATGCCTCTGCCAACATGCTCCTATTCTAACCATAGTGAGCCCATAGAACGTGGGAAATTTAATACAGGACTGTAGCCTTCCTCTGAGTAAAAGCCAATGGACTTCTATTGCCACAAGGCCTCATCTAATGTGATCCCAACACTTCTGGAGTTCCTACACTCCCTCTTCTTCCCTCTACTGCCACATCTGCTTCCTGACTCTTCTTCAAAGTTTCAAGGCACAAGCCCACCTCAGGCCCTTTGCACTTGCTGTCCCTCTACCCTAAACACCCAGGGTATCACCCAGGCTCATCTCCTCCCTTCCTGCCATCTTTATGTCAACAGGGCCAAGCTTCCCACACACACCATAGGCACCACCTTCCTTTTTCCCCAAGTCTTTATAGTTCTTCTTACCATCCCATGCACTGAGAATTTTAGGACCTTCTTGGTTTATTACCTAACATGTAAGCTTCTTGCACATCAAATGAATTCAAGAACTAGCCTAAGCCAGGTGCAGTAGCACAGGCCTGAATTCCCCATACTTGGGAAGCTAAGGCAGGAGGGCAAATTTGAAACCAGCCTGGGCAACTAAATAAGACACTGCCTCAAAATAAAATAAAAAGGGCTGGAGACATAGCTCAGAGGTAAAGCACTCATGGGTTTAATCCCTAGCATGCAGGCACAGCTGTTAGAAAGAAGAACTGTAATCAAGCTTAGAATTGCCCAGAATTTACCATCACATTCCACACTCCCATAAAGAAACCTACCTCGAATCTTCACCTCCACTGGGGCCCCCTTCAATGAGCTGAACTTGTCCTGCAAGGAGGGACAGATCCTGCAGGAAAATAGCAAAGCCAGTCAGGCTTGAAGGGACTAGAAACGCCCCCCCCCCCCTTTCTTAATTTTAGATGTTAATGAGCCATTTATTTATTTATTTATTTATATGTGGTGCTGAGAATCAAACCCAGTGCTTCACACATGCTAGGCAAGTGCCCTGCCACTGAGCCACAACCCAAGCCCATAGAGAATCCCCCTTCTTAACTGAGTTATCTATCAGACTGGTGTTTTGTTCTGGGTGGTGCATACCCTGTGGATACTACTAGAGCCTAGAATGAGGGTCTCCCAGGCATTGCCAGTGGGACAGCCATAAAAGTATGTTGTTCCACTGCTGCACTTATAGGCAGAGAGACAATGATTCTTGCCAGCATTACCAGTGGTCCAACCACATGGCACTCCTAGAAGCACCCTGGTTGCTCCCTATGGGGCTGTCTTGTAACCTCTTTTTTTTTTTCCTATCATGTTTTGGCAGAAACTGTCCTTAACCTGGTAATGTACATAGATAAAGGTGGGCAAAACTCCAATCCCCAAGTCAGTGGCTAACATTTCACAAAGGCCACCCCAGGGAAGCCTGCAACCATTCTGGTGGCCCTCCATCCCAGCAGAGCTGGAGTGCAGGCCTGCTGAGGCCAGAAGCTGGCTTTCTCTCTATATCTCTGGAGCCTAGCACAATTCTGGATAACAACCCAGAGGAGGCCAGTGAGTGTGTAATGAATGAATGACCACCACCTCTGCTATTAGTAAATACTGATGCTAACCTCTTTCCAGAGATATCCTGTTTAAAAAAAAAAAAAAAAAAAACTTAATTCAGCTAGGTGCCTGTAATCCCAGTGGCTCGCAAGGCTGAGGCAGAAGGATTGCAAGCTCAAGATCAGCTTTAACAATTTAGCAAGACTAAGTAACTTAACAAGACCCTATCTCCAAATGTAAAAAAAAAAAAAAAAAAAAAAAAAGAAGCCATGTGTGATGGCACATCCCTATAAACCCAACAGCTCAGGAGGCTGAGGTAGAAGGATCACAAGTTCAAAGCCAGCCTCAGCAATTTAGCAAGGTTCTAAGCAACTTAGCAAGATCCTATGTCAAAATAAAAAATAAACTAGCTGGGGATGTTGTGGCACCCCTGAGTTCAGTACCGGGTACCAACAAAAAAAAAGACCCATAATCCAGAGTTGAAAGATGGAGACAGCCCACAAGTAGGCTCCCGATTTCTGTAAATAAAGGTTTATTGAAGGCTGGGGCCATAATTCAGTGGTAGAGCATTTGCCTAGCTGCAAAAGGCCCTGGGTTCAATCCCCAGTAGTGCAAAACAATTAGTGAATAAAGGTTTATCAGCACCCACCCACCTCCACTCCTCTAGGAGTGGTCACAACACAGACCAACAATGTTGACTAGCCCTTCACCAGAAAGGTTTTGCTGAGACCCGCTTTAAGCCATCTTAAGTTCCTACTGTAATAGAATCTATAGTCAATGTCCCAGATCTTCTGCCCCAGCCTTGACAGTGGTCACAATGATCACTCCAGAAAACACCATGCCCTAAGACAACAATCTTCTGAGCAGAACAAGTTCCAGATGAGACTATAAGTCATGAAGTCTGGCAACACCTAGGCACTCCACCAAATCTCCTCCTTAAGGGGGGCATGGTCTATATGTTCCACCCCTTGAGAGGCCTAAGGTGCTTTTACCAACTTGGAATCACAAAATGGCATTATATTTTCTTGGCTGCTTCTTAAAAGGATTCTGTTTCTAGTAAGTATTGGAAGTATTCTAGGATACACTAGAAGTACTGGAAGCATTCTAAGGATGTGGCCTCAGCCCCCTACCCATCCCTCTCTGGCCAGCAGAGTACCCTTGTTCCTGCTGGTCCCAGCTTCTGCCTGGGCCTGGCAAATCTGTGCTCCCTCCCATGAGAGCATCCTCCTTGGGGCCTCACTCAAGACCTTATACTTGGCCAGGCCATCGCCACTAATGCCTTTCCTCCCAGGTTCCTGGACCAAGCACTGGTCCTTTCAGGACCTGCAATAGCTGTCACACAGGCTGTATGTACTCTAAGCCAGGTTTCTACCTTCCTTTCCTGTGGTATTGGTAGCCCTACCTCCAGGATTCCTCTCTAAAACTTCATCTGCCACAGAGGCCCCATAATGCGAATTTTGGCATCTCACTCCCCTGGTCCCTTGCCTGCCATACCCAGAACATGAAGTTCACAAGGCTTGCCAGGCCCTGAGTGAGCTGCACCAAGATGCCACCTTGGGCCACTGCTGTGCTCCCCTCCCCTCCCCTTTTGTTTCTTTCTTTCTTTCATTTGTTTGTTCCTTTCTTTCTTCAGTGCTAGATTGAGCCCAGGGCCTCATGAACACTAGGCAAGCACTCTACCACTGAGCTATACCCCCAGCCACCTAGTCATTACCTATTCTCTCCCAGATTAAATGCCAACTGCTCCTTGCCAACAACCACAGCATGCAACTATTATTTCTGCTTGCTACTGGAACCCAGGCCCACTAGGGCCCTGGATCCTTGAGGATATCAATCTATGCCTATGACACCTGAAACAACACACAGTGCACATGCATGTGTACACCTGCCCATCAGGCTGCACCCTGGAGCACCTCCCAACCATGTGCCACACCATGCTAGAACCAATGCTTTGGAGATCCAGCTAGGACAATGGTCCAAGAGAACAACAGGCTAAGGACTCCAGCAGGGGTGGGTATGTTCAAATGACTGTAGGCATCCAGGGGGAAAAGAAATGATTCACCCTGGGAACAGGAGACACTTTTTTTTTTTTTTTTTTAACACTGGGGATTGAACCCACAAGCACTCTATCACTGAGCCATATCGCAACACATCTTTGTGTTTTATTTTGAGATAGGGTGTCCCCAAGATGCCTGGGTTGTCCTCCAACTTGTGATCCTCCTGCCTCACTAAGCCTCCTGAGTCACTGGGATTACAAGCATATGCCACCATGCCATGCAAACAGGAGACTTTATACAAGGAAATGGAGCTGGACAGTGGCACACACCTATAATTCCAAAGACTTGGGAGGCAGAGGCAGGAGGATCACAAGTTTGAGGCCAATCTAAGCAACTTAACAAGACACTCTAGCAATTTAGTGAGAACCTGTCTCAAAATTAAAATAAAAAGGGACTGGGAATGTGGCTTAGTGGTAAAGTGCCACTGGGTTCAATCATCATTAACAAAAATGAATATATAAGGAAATGGGGCATGTGAGCTGGACCTTTGAGGGTCTGTAGGAGTATGTATGACAAGCAGAGACCTAAAGCATGCTTCCAAGAAGGAAAATAGTATAGTAAGATCAAAAGGTTATAAAGTGCTGGTGTATTGAGGCCTGGGGAGGAACCTGAGGAAAGGTCTGATGGAAAGGCAGAGGTTCAAATGTGAAAATGCTTATATCCTCTGGCTGTCCTCCTGATATCCTATGGCCTGACAGGTCATATAAGCTGAGTGCAAGCTAGCCCAGCCCCCCTTTTCAGTAGCAAGGGTAGCAGGCCACAGGCTGAGGTAGACAGGCCCAGGTCTGGCCTCATAAGAAACTCCCATACCAACAGATGATCACCATTTCAGAGAAGTTCCTGAAGATCATATCAAATCCCACAAGAGTCTGTGTTCCCCAGGGAGGCTGGGGTAAGACTTCTGCACCTGCAGCTTAAAGACAGATGCTCATCCCAGGAGCTGAGGGGAAGAACATGTGCCTCAGGTAATGGTGTTGCTGAGAAGCAGACCTTCTGTGGGGTATTCTGGAGTGTTCCCTTTGCCCCCTGGGCAGGGTTTGCTCCCAGCACACATACTCAGGAAGAACATACCCCATGCCACACCTGACCAAAAGGACTGGGAAACAGGATCATGATACAGAAGCTAGCAAGAGCTGGTACTGCATGAGAGCCACCTGGTAAACCCATCACACAGACCTTCCTGGTCCCCCTCTACCACAGATCCAAGACAGTTCTTGAACCCAGGTGACCCTCAGCTCTCTAGTCTGAGAAGGATTTAAGCAGAGCATTTCTCAGGTCCTGCCAGCCCTGGACTTCCAAACTTGTAGTTAAAGTTAGAAGAACACTCAGAAGCCAAGCCAAACCAACTGTCCGAGTAAGGTGATAGATGTACTAGCCCCAGTACTGCTGAGGGCCATTTAGCCCCCAATTTGTGCTCTGTAGCCAATAACCAGCTGCTCTCCAGCTGGGTTGTTATGAAGCCCTACAAGATACATCCCCTCTCCCCCAGGTGGACTGCTGGTGTGGAGGACACCCCATAAGAAGAGAAAGAAACCCAGGTTTTACCGTATACACAACCACTCCAGTATCTCCAAGCGGTACTTCGAGGGCCTACACAGCAGTTCCTGAATCGTCTTTGGTTCTGTGATATAAAGACCCTCAAGGAAGGGGCAGTTTAGGTCCTAAGCAAGGAAAAGGAAAATTGGAAGCTTTAGGAAATCTGTCACGGCAGGGTGGCAATGCACTTCTGCCAATCTGTGTTCTGTATCCCTTCCTGGGCCAGCAGCCTAGGGCAGGGTGTCCGTAGGTCGCCCCTGGACACTCCTCCTGATTTACTTCCATCTTCCCAGGAGTTGCAAGTCCTTCATCCTCATCTCTACGTATGCTGCAGCCTGCTGCCCCATCACGTTTAAGTGTGCCCCCTCTGGGCTCTGGTGGCAGCAGAACTAGACTAGAAATAATGGCTAAAGAGTTGATCTTTAGAAATACTCAGATCCCAGGTTCAGACTGGAAACAGGGAGGGGGAGCAAGAAGGAACACGAAGCCTGTTGTGGAAGGGGGGGTGTGGGGAGGGCAAAGGGCCTAGGCAGCTCCCTGACCACGCTGCCCCCCAACTCTCTGACTTGACAGGTGACACTGAGTTCTACTTATCTGTCCCCCTGGACTATACAACTCACTTGACGTCCGGGCCTGCATCTTCCGTCTCTGCACTTGCCTTGAGTTCCCAGACCTGGTCTTGCAGAGTTCCACACATGGCGCTGAACTCAACTTCACGGCTGGGCACGGGCCGTGAAGCCAGCAAGAGCCAAAGTCCAGGGAACCCCAAAGAGAAGGGCAAATGGGCTACAAGCAGCCCCGCACTGCTGGTCAACAGAGTACAGCCCGGACCCACGACAGTGGCTGCGTGCGTCGCAGACGCACGGCCCATAAGAGCAAGCAGTGGACTGAACCCTACCCATCCCCCCTCCCTGGGGTGGCTTGTTGGACCCGCAGCACCTTCAACTTCCTGAACACCTCCATGGTTTCCTTGGACACGCTGTCTTCGCCTTTGTCTTCGTAGTATTCGTCCCCAGAGCCGCCACCAACACCAGCGTCCTGCCCCGCCATGTTTCGCGCTTCGAGCAGAGCCCCGCCCGCTCCCCCCAGCCTCCCTCGCCAATCAGGCTGCCAATCACACCACACTTCGCACTCTCCCCGCCCCGTCGTCCGCGCACGGCGGAGGCGGGGCTCTCAGCGGTGTCTGGAGCACCTGTGGCCCCGCCCCTTTCCCACTGCATCTTCCTATTGGGCAGCGGTTCCACAGCGGGCCGAGAGCTGATCAAGCGTGGGCATTAACACCACCCGCGCGGGGCGGGAGGCGGGACCGGACGGGCTGGAACTTGCTCCCTGTTGCAGGCCTGCTGGCATCGCCCCTAGTGGCAACCCGGGAGCAGAACGCCTAGAGGCGAGGCTCTTCCGGGAGAGGGCGCTCCTGCCACAGCTCTCCTTGGTCAGAGCTCTGAGGACCCTAGTCCCCAGGAGGACAAAGGGGAGCGACCTTGGGTGCAGCACGGAACTGAGACTTGAGCGACTCATCTCCCAGCGCGGGGTGCTGTCTCCTGTTTCTCTAGCTCACACTATAGTTAGAAGTTTTTAAAATTCAATCTGGCTCTGACACTAGCTCTGTAACTTTGGACCAGTTACCTAACCTCTCTGTGCCTCCTTGCCTTCGCCTAACCAGATAATGAGAAATGTTACGTCATTGAGTTGCTGTGAGAATGACCTAAGGTAATAATTCCTATGAAATAATAGGCCAAAAGCACCATATAAATGTTCACTATTATTTTGGTTTTTTGTTTGTTTGTTTGTTTGTTAGTGGAGATTGAAACTACAGGCATTTTACCACTGAACTGTATCCTCAGACTTTTATTTTATTTTATTTTTTAAGACGGGGTCTCGCTAAGCTAAGTGTGTGAAGCTGACCTACGAATTTGTGATCCTCCTGCCTCAGCCTCCTGAGTGACTGGGATTACAGATGAGCACCCCCACACCAGGCAGATGTTTACTATTATTATGCTAGGCCCTGGCCAACCCTCCTCCCCAGTCTACTTTTGGCTTTCCTGGATGATCCTGTGGCTCCTTCCTGCCCTGTCCACTTACAAGTTTCTTTGCATCTCTCAGGCCTGTGGAATCAGACTAGAGTGAAATTTGTCAGCCCCTCCTTCCCCAGAACTCCAAAGCCCTCAGATTGCTGAATGCCCCCTCACTGGACTCTGCTGACTGGACAAGGCAGGTAGGAGCTGAAGGATGGTGCAGGGAAGCTGGGAGACAGCAACAGGCAGTAGATAGCCAGCCACGGCCAGCAACTGTCCCTTATCTGTCAACTGCCCTGCATTCTCCTGGAGGGGGATCTTGGGGGGCAAGTCAAGCGGCAGGGAATTCAGGGACCTGCTAATGGAAAACTGCAGTCATCCAAATGACAGGGGAAGGCTCAGATCTATCCTGGGAGGAAGGAGTGCACAGAATCTAGGGCTAACAGGAAGGAACCTCTGCCTGGCTTTGGGAGGCCCTGACCCAGGCCCAGCTTTTTGAATGATTTGAAATTTTAGGCTCTTCTGAGGTCATGGAGCCTCCAAACTTGAGCTGAAGGGACCTAGGGAGAGGAAGGCCCAAGAGCCCTGGCCCAGGGTCCCAGCAGCTGGCAAATCACCTTAAGGCACCCTTCCCCCCTCCACATGTTGGCTGCCTAGGGCCCTTTTGGAAGAAGAGAACTGTAAAAGGCTTTGGTTATGAAGATTTTTTTTTTTTTTACTCCTTTTCCCCTCTCTTTCTGGTTTTGTTTTTCTTCCTTTCTCTTTAGAAAATTTCATTTCAATCACAGCCCCAGCTCAGACATTCAAATTCTTGTGGGTTTTTCTGTGGATCTTTCCTAGGACTGGGGAATTTGGCGGGAGAAAGCAAGGCAGTGTGGCTGCCTGCCCCCGCCCTCCCCATATCCTCTGCTCCTGAGGATAGGGAAGAAACCAGTCCCTGTGTATTCTGGAAGAAAATCCCCCTTCTCCACCCAGTTCCAGGGAGCCAGTACACTAAGCAGACCTTTTCCCGACTCAGCAGCTCTGTCTATGGCACAGGGTGGGGCATGGAGGTATTGACAGGGTCTGGAGGGGCCAAGACCATCCAGAGAGGTTATGGAGGCCATCCTCCTGCATGGAGAAGCTGCTGTCCAGCCCATGGAGATGCCTGCTAAAGACAGGTTGCCCCCCCACACACCTTACTCAAGTCATGGCACCTCCTGGGCATTCTCCACTGGAAAGGCTGGAGGGAAACTGGTATGTGAACAGAAAGAGTGATGGGCCTCTCAGAGAGGGGAAAAGAAGGAGCCCAATAGTAAAAGCTTCTGGAAACAGACTCAAGCTCAACACAAGGAAGCACTACTCCCAGGAAGCACAGTCTACATACCAGCTAGCTGCCTCGAGAGGGAGGGAGCTCCCTGACTTGGGAGGTGTGTGCACCTGGGCTGGTAGGCCCATGGAGGGAGGGAGCAAGGTGGAGGGGTGGATGCTTGCAGTGGAGGAGAGAGTGGGCAGATCTCTAAGGGGCATTCCTGCCAGAGACTGTGGATTCTGTGAGGGAGGGCTGCATGAGTCAGGGGCCAAAAATGGGGCTGAAGGCCCCTTTGACCTGCAGGGGGAGGCTGAGCTTTGCAGGCAGCAGCAACCAACCTCCTGATTGAGGGGGAAACTTGGCCATGGGTCCCAGCAGGGCCTTAGCCACGTTTCGGTGCTTGGCAAACAGGCTGGAAAATGAGAGCAGTTGACAGGCACTGGCCCACAGTACTGGGGATGGGCTGGAGGGCGGTGGAAGCATGTGAGGCCCCTCTGTTGTGTGGTGGGCTCAGAAATGTACGGCCAAGCTGCCGGGTTGAGAATTAGCCTGAGTGCCTTGGAGCAGCAGATCACCACAGGAGGCTTGGAAGGCATCAGGACAAGAGAAAGTCATCAAGAAGTCGTCTATAGCAGCTGCCCTCACAGTCTCCTGGTGGAAGACACTGAATAGGAAGGTGAAGTCCTCTTCTGCTTCAGCCCTCAGGGGCTAGAGTTAGGCCTGATGAAGAGCTCCCCTCCTGAAGGTGAACAGGCTTCACAGTGCTGTGAGAGCCGAAGCAGCAGAGGCCTTGCACCACCCAGGCTCATCAACACCTGGCCCAGAGCCAGGAATCCCAGGCAGCTTTCAAGGGGCCAGGAACCAAAGCTCCCTTTGCGTCCACTTTCCCCACCCCTGAAGTTCCCCAGTAAGACAGCAAGCACCAAATACAGGCTCATGGGGGAGCTTGTGGGGGAGGGGATTGAGAAAGAGAAAATACTTCAGTGGGAGAATTCAGTTATGGGACGAGAAGTTGTGGGCCTGCCACCACTACAGCTTGGGAGTCTGGTGATTTCTGGTCCTAGCTCTGGATGAATAAGACTGTCAAGTCTGGAGCTGACTAAAGCCTGATGACTCTAGACTGTGTCCACCTTGGGAGTCTACTGGCACATGAGAATGGGAAGGCTGCCATTGGACTTTGACCTCCTTTTCCTGTCATATCTAGTATCTATGCTGGGGCAAAGGCAGCTCCCCAAGGGGAGTCCAAAGCAGTGCCACCCTAGTATCCTACAAGAATCTTTCGTAAGCCTCTTGCTTTAGGGCCCTAGCCCTAAAATTCAAATTCAAATTCAAATCTTGAATTGAGGGGTGCTCAGAGCCAAGGGGATGCCACCATCACCTGCCCTCACCTGGCTACAATTTCCTACAAGAGCACATTCAACAACTCAAGACTCCAGTGGGATCCCAGCCCACTCCCAGAGCCAGCATGGGTCCCTAGAGTCTGTCCACTTTTGGTCAGGATACAGACAAGCCTGGTTGTGTGGGCTCAGTGGAACCAGTGGATGGTATCTGGCCTGCATGCATCGGCCTGGGAAGAAAGGCAGGGGCAGGGGAAAGGTAACCACTAAGGTATTCATTCATTTTCTTGTCCCAGGCCCTGTAAATGGGGAGACAGGCTGGGCCCCTGGGTACCTTTGCATTTGAATGACCCCCTCCACCCCCACCCCCGTCTTCACCCCACCCAGTACCCCACCACCCACACTCCCTCTTTGCCTTGGTCCTGGTGCATGATGGGGGTAGGGAGTGGGGGACATGCCCGGGACATCTGGCCGCATGTGTGCAGGGCTCCGCCTGGGCAGGAACGAAGGAAACGGCGGCGGGAGAGCCCCCTCCATGGGGAGACTCTTGGGTCTAGACGGCTTGGCAAGGCCAGCAGGGCTGAGTCACATGTGTCTGGAGCTGGAGACGCGGACGCCAGGACTGGAACATGAACGTGCCCGCTCTGGAGAGCCAGGCCAGGCTGGGGGAAGGGGTACTCAGTCTCACCTTCTTATATCTAGTGCCCTCCCCAGCCCAGTCTGAGCCCCAGTTTGTGCCCGGCCTCTGTTCCTTGTTTGAGACTGCCTGAAGGACAGCTTTCACTGGGAGTCAAGTGGAGCCCACGTTTTTTGGCAGGAACAAACTGGAATTTCTGACCAGGAAGAAGGATGGGAAAGTGGTCCCCACCTGGACCACACACCAGCTCCATCCGCCCAGCCACACGGGCCAAGTGGAACCTTTGCCCCAAAGCCCCTCTTGTGCATGCTTCTGTCTCCAGGTCACTTTCCACTGGCACCCTCCCCAGGGATGGCCACACCCCAGCCGCTGAAGGCCTAACAGTCCATATGCCTCACTCACCTCCACCATGTCTCCAACCATCCCTGTGCCAGCAGAGGTTCTGTGTTCCTCTGCGTCTGTTCTGTGTCCTCCCCCAACCAGGTCTCAGGCAGGGAAGCCCTAGGGTAGGTCTGAACCCAAATCTGCTGCTGTCTTTGGTGCTCACAAAACATCTGCCACAAAATTTATTTAATTGGGACCAGATCTTCTGAGGTTTTGATGGCACTAAAATGAGATGTGTTTCCTCTTGGGAAGGATCATAAGCAACAGGAAGAGGGCATGGAAAGTTTGGATTTTTCTTCTCAAAACAGTAAGAAGAGAAAGGTCCCCCATACCTGTATTGCCATAAAACATAGCTACAGGCACATGTACCCAGAGACCTGCCCACATGTGCAAGTGAAGAACCCACA